ACATTCTATTAAGGAAAATAGCTGTTAATGAAGAATTTTAGGATTTTCAGGTTCTAACTTCTGCTTTACCTTGAATTATTTCTTTATTGTACAATAATACATTTATATCTACGATAATTTGTTGAAGGATGTACTGCTATGGTGCTAGCTTTTTTTGCTTGGAATGCTTTTACTGTTCAGTGGAGTATTTCTTTGACTAACTATGACTTGAATTCTCATTATTAATGGATTTTATTGATTCTGCAACTTTTGGTAGAAAAATGAGATTTTGTGGAAGAAAGACGAGTAATCGACTCGTATAACTGATTAGTTCCTTGCCAATAATTCCAACTTCCCATATATTTTCAAACATATTCAATACATACGTTAACAAAACCATAATTCATGCACAGCTCGTGCATCGCACATAGCATAGACTAGTATAAGTAAGTTGATGAAAATCGAGGCCAACTCTTTATATCGCCCACGTGATCATAACGAAACAGAAAAATATAGCAAAAAAAAAAAAAAAAAAAAAAAAAAAAAAAAAAAAAAGAAAAGAAAACCACTATGTATTGTCAAAGATTTTCAATATACAAAAAATTGTTTTACAACCTTTAGAATTTCACTCGCCAAAACTTTTTGTTTGGTTTAATTATAATTGACAATTCTGTGAACAAAAAAGGTTAAATTGAAAAAGTATAAAACTCGAGAAGTTAAGTGCAATTTTGTATAATAGTGGTTGGTGGGTTAGGGTTAAAGCTTGAAATAAGGAAAGACGAACCGTCGCAATTTCGCTTATATCTCACCAACACATTGTTTGAGGGACAAAAACCAAATGTGTTGACCTAATGGTTGACTTCTTATTTTAATTATTACAAACAAATTGCGTTTGATTCTAACAAATTGAATTTAAGTGATTGACAGTGATTATTGCAAATTTATGACACGAAAAGATTTGGTTCGAGAATCATGCAACCTTGGTACAAAACGATATACACACAAGATTTACGTACAAGGAAATAAAAATCGAGCTCTCACACACCAAATTGCATTGGATGAAGAAATTGAAGACATTAGCTAGATGCATTTGTATACTCAAGTGTAAAGGTAAAACACTTTAATATTTCGTATCGATCATAGCTCAAACAACTTTTATGCACGGGAATTATCATAACAAACCTGACTTGCATAAAAATTATTTTTCAAAAAGATAAGTAATTCAATTTTTACAATCAAACTTTTATGACATTACTTATCTATAAAAAGTATATAACAAAACCGTTAAAAGAATATTTTTAAAGAAACTTTCTTCAAAGAAATGAAAAAAATTAAATATGGCCATCCGGACGTCCGCAACGGTCAAATTTTTAACCGTTTGACAAACGGCTAGTTACTCGTCCGAATACCAAGAGGACGTCCGAATCACGTGTCCGGATCTCCCGATTGATGGCTATAAATACCTTCCTTTTTACCTTTTTAAAAGTGTGAATTTTAGAGCATTAAAGAAAGCTACTTATTAATCTCATCTACCTTATTTCTCAATCTTTAAGAGGTCAAATATTTTTGTTGAAAAAGGTTTTGAGTAAATAACTTTGTAAAAATCATATATCTTGATAAAAGTCTTTCGCACAATACTTGAGTTATATTCTTTGTGATCTATTGAGGTGTTGTGCCTACTTCTCTCTTAATACTTCGTTGTATCTATATCATTTGTTAAGAGAGAAGTTTTTCAAGTGTAACCTTGATTCTCTTGCTTATTGAATTGCTGGTCGTGTTGAGGTCCCGGAAAGCTCAACGTGTAAAATGATCGGTGCTCTTTAGCTGTAAGTCATTGAAAGTATTGTAAGGGTCGGATTGCACCACAAGTCAATCAAAGATAGTGAAAAAGGCCTTACTCGTGACGGAGAGCTTGGTAACGGGGGACGTAGATCGTGATTGGATCGAACCTCCTTATTACATCGTTTGCACTCTCTTTTTCCTTCCTTTTATTGTTTTTGTGTTATCTTGTTTATTTATCATTATTTGCCTATATTTGAATCTATTTTCGAAAAAGTAGAGAATAACCAATTCACCCCCCTCTTGATTAGTTGTTCTTGGGCTTTCAAAATGGATGTTGCTAGCTTGTTGCCAGGACCTCGCTCGAGCGAAAAACTATCGCTGGCCTGTCGCTTGAGCGACACTGCGATAGTGCTTCCAAAAACCCTAAATTGCGATTTTAGAGAATTTTTTTTAAAGAAAAAGACCATACTACTCAAAAATTCCTTTGTATAAATACCTACGCCATTTCACAAAAAACTCTGAATTGTACATCGTGAGAAAATACTGTACCTTTCATATATCATACAATTCATCTGTCATTGATATTGGCGAGGGGAAAACATCAAAACCAAAAATTCAAATATCCAAACCAAAACTTCCAGAGCATCTTGTCAGAGGTTGAAGATCAAAGAAGATGACTAGAGTTCCAATTGTTGGAGAACAAGGATTTCTCGAGAATTCACAAGAAATAGACGGAATCAAAAAGTCAGGAGTTGGTGCAGAATCACGCAATCCAGGGGGGCTTTGGGAACTACAAGTAGGAGGTCTGAAAGTACTAGTGTTGGTCGAATCTGGCGGCACTATAAGTTGATTTGTTTATAGTAGATTTATACTAGATTGAAGCCGAAATTTTTATTCCCACGAGGGGTTTTCTCCATCATCAAATATCATGCTTATTTATTTTCCTGCAATTTATTATTATGCGGCAATTCAACATAGGGTAGATTGCATGTGAATTCATTTGGACTAATCAATAACTGTGACGTGTTATAATTGTTAATTAATTTGCATAAATTCCGCGCAAACACCTATTCAACCCTCCCTCTAGAGGTTATTTGGGCCAAACTATGTAACTTTCACCCTTCAAGTATTGCTGAAAAAATAATGTCATAAACATTACCACATTTATCAAATTTTACTCTTCGAACAATCCACAAAGAAAATAGAAAATTATGACGCTGAATTTACACATTTCCTTCAAAACCCTCAAATTACATACATTGGAGAAAGAGAATCATGTCAATTTATAATTAAGCATGTGTTTGGGCACGACTTTATCCCTATAAAAATTGATTTTTGCATCACATCAGTGGTCCCCACCTGCAATCTTGCAAACCAACTTTCAAGTTACAAATTACGAAGAAAATTGCTTTTACCCCGTTTTCAAATATTGTGCATTATTTGAAGGAAAGAAGGGAAAGTAGTAAAGGGTACAATTGGCAATGCAAAGTTAAACGATATGAATGCCACAGTTATATGTCACGTGAATGTTTGATTGAGAGGAATAAAGAAATGGATTTTTAAGCACAACGATCACTTTTCAGATTATAATTTTCCAGAGAATTGCGCCCAGGCAACGGCTAAATATATACCTAGTTTTCTATGGTGGCTCAAGTGATAAATGAAACAATCATGCTCCCAGCTGACTTACACTCATAATCGGGATTGGTGGGATGCCATTTTTTATTCGAGATCGGCGCGGTTCCAGGCCAATGTGAGTGTCGATCATATAGATGGGCAAAATTCATTTGGCACACTGACTTTATTCTAGATAAAATCATATCCTAAACAAATCCCCTTTTCACCTATTCTCCACACATGCAACTTAATCATTAGAGTGCAAATTATTACCGGACCTTTTTTAAAGACGGTAACCTTTGCTTCCTAAGAACACTTCCAATGTATTCTATATATTGTTATCTAGATGGCATGAAAATTCAAAGATTCTCGATTTTCTTCTTATTTTTTTAAGAAACAAAAACAAAATTACATGTAAATTTGGATGGGAAATATAAATCTGAAAACAATGTTAATAATTTATTGAGTCATTCCACCTAATAAAGCTGATGAATACATACAAAACTCTAGAAACTGTCTATCTTTTTATGATAGCTTGATGGAATCACTATCATGTTGCATTGATAATGATTTTTTCTTTTCTTTTTAATAGTGTATTATTTGCTGTGTGGCACAATTTTTCAAGCAATTTATGACTACACTGGAAATACTCTAATGACGTTATAGCTTGCAGGTAACATATAGGTGGAAGGAAATGTGATCAAAATCAGTTTATGTCGAATCCAAGACTAAATAAAATGAATAAAAAAGAACTTAAACTTAACAATTTAAATGATTATTCATCTCTTATTTTCACTAATTTGCAACGATCTTCATTCACGGGCCACATTTTTTGTGCACATCTTGCTCTGCCACGTGAAAGAACATGTTCATCTCATTCTCAACTTGAATCACGAATACTTCTCAATCCATCTCAATCTCCCCTGAATAACATGATCATATAAAAATATTGTAGACCTTGCATAGTTATGGACTCATCCATTAAAACATGTTGTGTATGTATATGAAAAAACTAGAAATTGAACGATGAAATTTAGATGATAAGATGACTTTGATAAACCTCAAAGGAAACTTGGGATTTCTTCTTGAAAATCCTCTCTTTTCTTCTTCATAATCGTGTTCATGATAGCAGTTTCGATTGTAATTCCTAGAAAATTGTAAAATTGAGGCATGAATGAGGTTTTATATCGTTTTCATTGTTGAATGTTTGATTTTGACAATAAAATCAAATTATGATATTTAACACATGAACGTAAATAGATGTGAAATTTTAATATTTTGTAAGAAATTATACAAATTGAGTTTTATGACGTAGTAAATACGGAAAATAATATAGTATAGATGCATGAATAACATGTTTATTCAATTCAATTGAAATGAAGATTGTTGAAATTAGATTAGTCGAGTATGAGTTTGACGGCACGAATATAAAAATATTTAACTAAAATCATTAAACGACACGATTTGGTAAGTGAGCAAACGGATCCGAGGGTGGGGACAAAAGATAAATCCCGTGATTGACTTTTGGGCTCATTTACCACTCGACGACGACTTTGGAGATTTCAATTTTCTGTTTAACCTGATTGAAACGACATCGTTCTATCTACTCCCATCAAAACCCATCAGCTGGCCCCCACACCTTGCCAAAAAATCCCTATTCTAATTCCATTCCATGGCTTCTGAGAAACCCCAATTATGATTACAATTTCAATCAGAAATTCTTCATCTGCATTGTTGATTGAATCTTCTTTGACGCAATTATAACATTCTTCATTTGTTGAAGACGGATTGACGATTTGTATGGATAGATCAACTGCAACCTCCCAAAGGCACGGAAAGTGAAGGTTTTTTTCTCTCTCTCTCTCTCTCTCTCTCTCTCTCTCTCTCTCTCTCTCTATATGTACATAATACAAGTATGTCTGAAACATATTCTGAAGAACTATTTTATTAACCAATCAAAATTTTCAGGTGAATTGAGCTCGCAAGATCTTTTTTCTTTTGAGTTATTCTATAATGCATAAATGTGTGATGGATAGATCTGCAGACTACATTGTTCGGTAAATGAGTCGAGGATTTTTTAACAGTTGAATCTGAAATGTGCTAATTAACTCTTTCTTTTTTCTGTTTGGAATTTACTTAATCGAGCTGGGTTTGGATACATATCAATAAATTTGCCGGGTCTTAGAAAATGTGCTGTGGATGTAATCGAGTGATAATGAGCTTAAATAGTAAGAAAGCGTGAAACTTTGGTTGAAAATTGTAGTTATAAAGCATCATATTTTGTGCAATCAGTTGAGAAAGTATTGGTTAAAATCTGTGTTATCAACTTACTTTAATTATCAGAATAAATTTGTTTAATACGTAAAGGATTTAAGTCAATTTTGTTTTGCTTGGTAAATTAGTATATGCAATTGGATTATAAGTTATTTTATTCTCTGAGATTTATGAAATGATTATTAGCAATGTGATTGCAACGTTTTTCTAGCTAATACTTCCCATTTTTTGTTGACCTTGTAGTATAAGTTATTGCCCTCCGTCCTCATTTCTTTGCTTAAATTTTGATTTTAGAACCGTGCATGTTTTTTGTTTAGGCAAATGTGATTCAACGTATGCTAAGGTTATTAAAAAAAATCAATTGTATCAGAAAGCTGTTTGCAAATTCAATTGTAAAAGAAAGCCTTTTGTGATGTTCTGTTTGACATATCTACAATTAAATGTCATTAACTATTGCACAATCATTTCTTGATCATGAGACTAACACCTTTCTGCTCTTATTAATTTCCATATGCTTATGCGAAGCCAACTAAGGTACTAAATGCGCAAAACATCTAAAATAGAAATAAATTCCTCTTTTGTCGTTAGACTTGGCCTTAGCTATGCAGATTTGCAAGAATAATTCAGCAGAACCAAAATTACTAATGAACAGCTATCAATGATCTGGACCTATGACAATGGCATTAAAAGTAATGAAGAGCTATTAATAATCTTATTTGTGAGGTCGGAATAGATCCTATTACTGCTCTCTGTTGATAACAGCATAAAATTCTTAAACATTGTGCATATTGGTTGCTCCAATGAGTCAATATACAAGTTTTACTTCTCAGAAAATGAGTTGGAGAAAACTACTTTAAATATCTTGTTCATTAGGATAAGAATAAGCCCACGTTTGGCCCCCATTAATTTTTATTCCATTATATTCCATTTTTCTCTCTCCTATTTTCAACCATACAATCTTCCATAAAAAAAATTACACATAAACTGAAAAAAAATTCTTCTTTTTCAACCACACATTTTTCAAAAAAATACTATTCAACCCATTAATTTTTCCACAATCGGTTTAAAATGCATTTAAATCTATGTTGTCTTAGTCAGTACTAAGTATAACTTTGGAACAAACTTCTCATGCTTTGTTTCCTTTTCTTATCACTCAAGTGGAAAATGTCTTCTATTCGTGAAATAAAAACTCATAGCTTGGTTGACGATCTGCATTTGCTTCACATTGGCCTTATAATGTTGATTTCCTCAATGTTGTATGGGGAGGTTTACTGATCAGAAGAAAAAAATATTACAAAAAAGTGCCCACCATCATTTCTAGTTACGTTACTCATGTTGCACAAGATTTTGTGATATCTTCTTAATTATGATCTTAACAGTAACATGATTTTGTCTTGGTTTTGCCCCATTTCCTGGTTCAAATCTTGGATTACGTGTCTTACCTTCTTCACTGAAGTTGCATATTTACTTTCCCCTTCTGTTTTCCTTTTAGCTTAATAAATTGATTCTTCAAAAGTGCCGTCTTTCCAAAATAGTTTCCCACTTTGCTGTTTACTACTGCGTTCACTAATTTATTCTAGTGTTCTCTATTTTGACTTGTTTATCTATTGAAAATGATTTACTTGTACCCTCATTTACTTTCTTTAGTGTGGCAAACCATTGTCAGGAAGAACATTTTTTCCTTTTTTTTTTTTTTGAAGGAGTATGTCAAATAATGCATTTGTGGGCTTTCTATGGTAGGTCTGGAGTTGATCAATAGTCATGGGTGGCTCTAAGAAATGGATCAAAGCATTGTTCGGTTTAAAGAAACCAGAGAAATCACAGGCTTCAAGGAAAGATGAAAATGTAGGTGGTATTTTCTTATTATGATTCTTTCCCTTTCTTTCTCTCAGACTTCCATTCTTCTTCTCTTTGTAATATTCAATTATTAGCTATAAAGAGTTATGGGAAGGCAACTCTGCAGCTGCCTGCTGATTTGGGCAAGTATACGTCACATTGCGTGTTCCTCTATTCCAACTTTGTTGAGCTCCCTGTTTCACACTTTCTGTTTGTTTGTCCAACTGCACATCCTACCTCAGCTTGTGGACCCCAATGTCTTATCCCAACTGGCACGTCATGCACAGAATTGATAGTCTTGAATTGCTTATATGCAACTTTAACATATCTACTTTTGTATTTCTAATCTATCATCCTTTTACATTAGCTAGTTCTCATCCTGTTTTAAGAACTCTTCTCAGAGTTCTAGGAATTAGCTTTTATTTTAATCTTGATATTATATTCTTTCCATTTGTAGGATAAATATGAGACTCAAAATTATCAGTTATACGGGTCAAAATGGAACTTGTTAATGCAAAAATTTACCTCTTCTGCATGACAACTGTAGTAGAACTATGTATCCTTGTATCGCGTATGGATTTCTAGGGATGGAACCCATGAGGGAGACTCTAGACAGTTAACTGCTTGTTTGGGGACTACAATTCTAGATAAATGTTCTTGGGTAGTGCATGGATCACCATCTCAAATTTGTCTAAACATGTAGATAACCGGGAGCGTTGGTAATCTTCAGCATAAAAGAACACATTCTGTTGAGATAGATACCAACATACTACAGGATGAGTTGAATCGAAATGTTGCTACATCAGTTGAAGATGCAAACTACCAATCAGATTCAGAATCTGCTAGCTGCCCTTCTACCTCACTTCAGGTGCAATATGCTGTTCCAGTTCAACAGAAGATGAGAGAAGAATGGGCATCCACACGAATCCAAACAGCTTTCAGAGGATTTCTGGTATTGTAGGCATTAAACAGTTAATGAACTTACAAAAGCACCTGTATTTGATTATTACTGAAATTTTGCATGCTTGACTTGATTTTTTCATGGTAAGTGAGATGACGATTTGTCCTAAAAACACAGGAATGACAAATATAGATGCTTATAAGTTATAACATTGATATATAACAACCGCAACATGACCACTAAGATTTCATGCACAAGGGAAAAAATTCTCTTGTATCACATCAAACTAGCATTTAATGTGGGCTTTATCATTATTACATCTGAAAACTTTTCAAATTTAATGAAATTTATTGAGAAGCATGAAAAATATCTGGTCACAATTAAGCCCCCGTTTGATTTCCATTCTTTTCAAACTCTTTTTTCTACATTATAATTTTCAACCACAAATTCACCTAATAAAATATTCTGTACGTAAATTCAAAACTTTTTCCTTACTTTTTAACCACACATTCTCCTAAGACACTATTCAAATTTTTTTTATGTTATTATTATTATTATTATTTTTTTTTAAAGAATAGCCACCAAACTGGGGCTAACTTGTATGCTTTACTATCTATAAATATTAACCAAAATGCTTGGGTGCGAGATGCCCCATTGATTTAGCATTAAAATTCATTTACTATGACAATTGAAGAGTCCTATTATTTTATTTGAAATAAGTGCCCTTATGGAAAAGTTTTTATTTTATATTTATATACATGTTTTATGGACATAAATATGAGTGTGGTGTGTACTTATCATATGCTCTTATCTAGCTATTGCACTTAGTATCTCCAGATTGGGAGAATTGTTTGAGGCAATATTAAACACTCCTATACGCTTTACTACCACTGGTTGTAGCTTATGTTTATCAAAATGAGCGAATGGCTTTAATGCTTTGGTTTCAACAGTCAAATGGTTTCATATTGTTATTTATTTTTATTTTTTTCGTTGGTTTCTCAGGCTAGACGAGCTCTACGGGCTTTAAAAGGATTGGTGAGACTTCAAGCTCTTGTCAGAGGACATGCTGTAAGAAAGCAGGCTGCCATTACACTCCGTTGTATGCAAGCTTTAGTGAGGGTGCAGGCTCGTGTCCGAGCGAAGCGTGTTCGCATGGCACTGGAGAGTCAAACAGCACAACAGAAACTTCAGCAACAACTCGAACACGAAGGTCGTGTCAAAGAAATTGAAGTAAGATGCCTTCAGTAACACGTGTTTCTTTTCAAAACGACGACAAATTCCATTTTATGGTCTTATTGTTCTTTGTATCACGAGAATCTACAATAGATGAGCACGTCCTTGGCTTCTGTTTAGATAAAAAAATGTTGTCAGCTTTATGTATGATATTGGGGTACACAGTCAATGTTCTTCATTTCTAGCACACCTGATGAACTATTTTAGGATAATTTCTTGTAGAAGAGTTATTCTTTAGGATGTCTTGGTTTTGCTTTTTGCTTAGTGGCTTCCTAATCCAAGAGATGGTGGATTATGTTCCTTATTTGTATAGGAGTTCTTTCCTGGGCTGGATTCTAGCATATGATCAGCTTAGGGAAGTTTTAGATTAGTCTGATGAGTCACAATTAGTGGGCCATGTTTCAGTCTATTTGGGAGATTCATTAGCGTTTCCAAGAATCTATAAATAGGCACATGCTGTACTATTGATTTCCAGAGACGAATGGTCATTCATTGGCCTCTGGGTCGACTTTGGTGCTCATCCAGATTATATTGATTGTGGATCACAGTCAGTCTCTTGTGGAAAGCGTGTTTTTTAATATTTATCACCACTCTTTCTTGTGTAGAATTTCTTCTTCTTCCGTTTGTGTTGCTTCAAGATTGATTTTATCCCACTTCAATCGCACAAAGTTCTGGAAGCAGAATTTTATGTTTTCATTTATCACCACCATCTCACTGCCACAGTACTGCCCCTTTGGTTAGAAGAACTGAAGCTGTCCTGTGTCAGTACCCACTGCTAATACGCAAGTAATGGGATAACTCTGCGAACTTCTCTGGTTGCTAAAACGTTAGATTAGAGCAGAAGGTATTGTTGCTTTTTTTTTTGGGGGGGGGGGGGGGGGGGGGGGGGGGGTGGGGGG